ATGAGCAAACATTGCCTCTACAATTTTATAATATAAATGTTATACAAAAACAATTAAAGAATGATATGACAATATCCCTTATGAAAATGAAACGGATTCTATAAGTGTACAAACACTGAAACAAAACTGTGTTAAACATTTACCCCAAAAGAGTTGAAATATGTGAAATAAGTGGCCACCAAGAAACCTACTCGCATGCTGTGCGCATATTTTGCGAAATGATATGATTCCTTGACCACAGTGTGCATAATATATACAAAATAATCAAAATCAGAAAATATTCATACATAAAAAGTTTACATTCACCACACAATTAAAATGAAGATGTGTTGCGGCCATGACACGAAAATATGTGCATGAATAACACAACAGCATGAGGGATGAGATCTGACACAAAAACAGTGGGATCTTCACTCTTGGATGACACAGAATGAAACATTATCTGAAACACATTGAGTGTTACAGATTCCGTTTCGATTGAGGCACCTCTAGAGTAAGCCGTGTGAGTGCCGTATAAGAAAGTGAGTGTCGCACTTATTACACAGTGGGGTGAATGCAAATATGAGAAAATCAATGGAAATAAACAAGATGAATTGAACCACTATCAGGTCACTTGGAAGCTCTGTGGTATAGGCATTGTTAGTAGACCTCTTAGTACTAAGATTAAGGTAGAATTATGCTTGAAAGATTATAGTTTCTGCACCATCATATTACAGCTAATGTATCTCCCATTCTACCTTTCTAATCGAAGTTCGTGACGGTCGTGTAATCGCTGTCTGTACTAGTGCATCAATATTTCGCTAAGTGCCAACGACAGACAGACAGACCTATTAATAATGAAGGGTGTCATAATTGGTCAACCTGGGGACAACGTCTTTTGAAGGGCACCAGTATTCGGCATTTATATAACGGCGGGTTTCATGTTTGATTATTAGACGAAATATTTAAGTTCCTATTGTGGGTTCAGTGAAACATGTCATATACTGTTATTATTAGCGTGATCTGAAACATACAAAATTATTGCAGGCATTCTAAAGGCACACATGTCATTTTCACTTTTGTCCTTTCATGCACTGGACCAGAAAGGGAATTTTGTGTGGTATAAATGATCGAATTATTTCTCCACATTTCGGGGAGGTATTTATTGGAGCAAACTAACTCTTCTTAGGAATATCTTATACAGTTAGTGTCTGGGGAACCCATAAGCGGTTTACACATAACGGTTACCAAGATGACACGCAGCACCCTACACATGAGCGAGTCCGGAACCTCTACGGGGTATTAACCGGTCTTATGTGGATTAAATGATGATTAGTCAGTCTAAATGTGGACGGGGAATTCAACGCCGTTTCGCACCTACTTAAGATCAAAAGGTTACAGCCAGTCAAACTTTTAGGAGTTTGATATCAAGAAGAACGATATATACAACCGATAAAACACGACGGAAGAAATGAAATGGTATTAAAGTTGTAATTACATAAAATGTCCGTGATATAATGTCGGCGTGTAGATCTGACGTCTCCACCATGTTGGGCGATATATTGTTGTGTGTGGTTGCCCTTGATATTTACCACCTCCGTGGTGTAGTGGATAGAGCGTCCGCCCGGAGAGCGGAAGGTCGCGGGTTCGATCTCCGACCGCGTCATACCAAAAGACGTTAAAATATGGTACTTGTTGGTCCCTGCTTGGCGCTCGGCATTAATGGGTACAACAAGGACTGGTCGGCTCGGAGGCAGTATAATGTGTCTGAGTGGGGTATTCATGATTCACTGCGGCATGGTATCTCAGTGGGATAGCACTATAAAACCAGCTTAAGTCTGGGCTAGTACAAGCAGCCGCACATACACATACACACGCATGCACGTCGTCATATGAGCGAAATATTCCCCAGTGCGACGTTAAACCCAATTTCGCCAATTGCCCTTCGTATTGTTTGCCATTCTGTCTGAAGCTGGTCACGATTGTGCCTGCACTGTTTCTGTCGTATTCTCTCCGCCAGAGAACTTCAAACAGATTCTCTGTTGGGAACATGGCAGGGACTTTGGTGGGGAAGTCCAATGTCCGTATGCCTTCGCGGTGATAATCGGTGACGACCTGAATGCCAAATATCTGGCATTCTCATCATGCAAATCAAACTTTCAGCTGATAAATCTATCGACTGGAACAACGACATGACTTACAATTTCTTCTAGATGTCGTATATCAAATGTATATGCACGATTGCCAAACCAGTTTGCCTGTTCTCTGTAATACCGCACATCATGGCACAACCGCTTCCATGCTGATCATGGTCAAGAATTGTTGCCCTGAACGGCGGTCCGCCGTTTCGTCGCCAACGACGTTTTCTGCCCAGAAGGCAAAGCCTTGATTTGTTGCCTAGTCCAACCAAACCTGGTGCCTATGGTTAGCAGTGATGGTCCATTGCAATTTGAAATTAATGTAATGAGAAGAAGTTTTCCAGGTTCTGTTTTTTTAATCTCATTGCAATTCTACCCATTTAACGGTACTTATCCCACAGTTGAACATTACATTTTTATATATACCAATCATTTGGACAACTTTGGATAATGACGGCCCTGATCCTCTTTTGTACCCACATTTCGCCATATGGTCTTTTCATTGTGATATTGCTCTAGAGGAATCTGTAAGTGCGTGCTTAGCTGAATTGCATTTGTGACTGTGAGTTCCCTAAGGTGCACACATGTTGGCCTTTGAGTGCATGAGCACAGCGAGCTGATCATGCATGATGTGAAACTTCGTTGTGATTGGTTTTAGATGCAACGCCACGGTATTGTAGATGTGCACGTCAAGCACATTCAAGTCATTAGTTTCCCTTACGTTTTGTCGGTTGTACATATGGCAAATGTGCAAGTTGTAAATGACATATCTTACGAATACTTTTTTGCAAGACATTGAACTTTTTGGATAAGAAATGCACTTTTCCTCTTGTCTATTTCATAGTTATAGTCGTTCAGTCGTAGAGCATACAGATTATAAAACGTAGGTGGCATGCTTACGGTTACACATCATCCTATTATTCTAACTGTCCTATTTATTGAATAGGAGACGTCGCCTGACAACTCCATATGCGGTGTTATTTCTTATAGTTTGCATACCTTCTATAGTTCACTGGAACTTACTTTTCTAATGAAAATTTGGAGCTTCGCATACCGGTATGCTTACAGTTTACGTAAACACCCCGTGTCATCCATTTTCACTTTATCCTTCACTGTTTATGTCTTAATGCATCTTTCACGACTGCTTTTAGAAACGTGAATTTAGTCATAAACATATTACATGACCATACTGACCTACGACATCGCGGCTTTCATGCGGGCAACTGTCTATTTGATCGCGTTTGTTTTAGCTGTTATATAGATGATCTGACCCGAATGTTGATATGTTTGATATCAGAAAACAGGAGTGAGTGAGTGAGTGAGTTTTACACCGCTTTTAGCAATATTCCAGCAATATCACGGCGGAGGACACCAGAAATGGGCTTCACACATTGTACCCATGTCTTCCGCGTGACGAGCGGACGCTTTAGCTATTAGGCTACCCAACCGCCCTCAGAAGACAGGAGTGCGAGATTCTGTTGATTTTGAAAATTCAAACCCATTCTTCCAACGTTCAGTTTGTCGACAGTAATTACCAGCACACTGAATATACAAACACTAACCAGCTTCAGATCGGGAAGAGTGATTTGGTTTGATTATGACGTGAAGGTAACCGACATTGTCATAATAGTCGGTTACACAATGTGAAGGAATTTCATTGTACCGATATCTCGATCAGGAAATAAGGACTGCTCAAAAGGTAATGATCATTTTGTTGTGATGTCGTCTCCTTAAGGATCTGCGTCTTCTCACATCTACTTTTTTGTTTGATATGTCTATATGTACTGAATAAATATGCTAGGGACCATGCATATTTTCATGAAACTATGCGCTCAGTTTTTACTACAAAAAAATGTCATGAACATACATGTATGACTAATCAAGTTCTTTGTTCGGTTTATTAGTGCGGGAGGTTTGTAGAATGTCGGAAATTGAAATGTAATCTAGAATTCATTATTTAGCACGTATACATGAGGCTTTTAGAGTAACAAAACATTTTATTCCACCACGTAAACATTTACGTACATTTAATGTTCTACTGCCTCGATGTTATTGATGTCTCAGATTTGAACCAGTTCTATGACCTGATTAAATTGCTCAGAAGCATTGAAATGTTTAGTGCCCGTCCAAAATCACCCAGCCATACTAAGCCGAGAATTTGGTCTTGTCGGGAAATAGCACATTTAAGTCGTTGAGCCTAAAACCTTAAGAAAAGAACAGTTTTCCAATACCGAACTGATGTAAATGGTGTTTGGGCCAAAGTCATGCGCTCTTTTGTTGTTGATAATACATTTATTGTAGGAGAACGAATCGAAATGATCGACAACCTATTCGGATCGCCGCGTAATGCCTTGAAGCATACAATGACGTTGGGGATAAAAGAATTTAAGTAATGATAATCGTTTCTAAAATGTCATTAGGAAATAAAATATAGGAGAAAATCGTTGAGTGTAATAGGAAATCACCGGCATCGCGTGACCTAATTTTTATAAATTCTATAAAAAGAACCACGTGTTATTTGGGTAAGACCCCAGACAATTCATCTTGTAAAAAATTATTCCCAAGTGAGGATACAGGGAAGTATTTCGGCGATGAAATGTCTTTTAATGTATTGTTATAGCATACGATTTTACTTTAACAAACTGCTACATGATTGTAAAAAATTATGTCGTAGTGATAGAATTGATGCAAGTAGAATATTGTTTTTGGTTAACTAATTTCTCTCGCAGGTTTTCAAATAGAAAGGTAGAACACCGAAAATATGACGCATAGGTATTGTAAGACAGCTGGGATAAGTATACTAGAGTTAGTATAAAATATGATGGATTAATATTTGTTAGTACTCGCCCTTTCAACTTCCAAATGCCTTCTCTACAAACTAACCTTGCTGTGTTCACCTTGCATAGCTGGAAGGCTCCGTAGATCATAGGATTGAGCAGCGAGTTGGTCATCCCGATGAAAAATAACCACAGGTTTGTCCTTGGGTTAAATTCTTCCCAGAAGAAGGTTGAACAGATGAAGAGAACGTAATAAGGAGACCAGCAGACGACAAAAGCTAACACTATCACTATGGACATCCGGAGGGACTTCCGCTTTGCCTTGCGCAGTAGGTTACTCCTCACGGGTCCTCGTGAAAACCCGTTCGATAACGTTGATGTGATAGACTCTGCAAAAATAACATCACTGGTGGGTTAGTATCAGTCTTACATTTGGCAGTACGCGGTATCCCTCATTGATGATGGTATTGTTGAAGAAAGCCTCACAGGCGTCTTTCATTGTAAACACATATAAGTTCGAAAATCAAAAGGTCATGTTTTGTTTATAGTCCGAAATTGTAGCGTTAATAAGTTTTTATAACATGAATACATTGAATCCGGTGCGTGTTTCCTTATGGGTAATCTTACTATGGAAAATTTCGGGCTTAAAACATTTAACAGGAGAAAGTCTGTTCTATTTGTTGACATCAACTACTTCACATAAACAATGTAAAATTGTCCGCACGCTAGGAAATGTCGTTGCCTTCACATCTCATAAAGATCTAAGCGATAATTAACGTTGGTGCTTCATCTCAAAGTAAGAGTTCCTGTGCTTATTCTTCCAGTGTTCATTTGATTTGAACTGAATCGTTGCATTAAAGACTAAAACCAAAAATATTTGGAACAAAAAAATCAAAGCGTGCACTAAAAATACTGCAATAACCTTTCATGCAGGAAAACAATTAAAGACAAAAAAATTGTCTTAAAGACTTTAATTGTTTGTAACGGCTTACTTGACTGAATGAATTGGCTCCTTTAAAGAGGCGTCTTTATCATTCGCGAACAAATAACACTTTGATCATTGTATGTTACGGCAGAGGGTCCTTTGATGTGTAGATGACTGATTTAATTTGAACCAGCGAGTGATGGCCTTACGAATGCAGAGCCAATACCATTCATGAGAATGTGTCTTTCTGAGCCAGAGGTAGTCTGCGCCAGTCCATCAGTTGTCAGTTCAGTAGGTCACAGGAGCCTTTGGCCAAATCAAGCGAAAACCAATCCTCTAGACGAGGCTATCGACTGAAAAGACGTTATATATAATGAGACCAACTACCTGAATCTACGTTGTGAATGGTCTTCATGAGTGATGAGCATTACCTTGATGGTATATTTTATTACACATAGTTTGGTTATGTAATTTACACACAGTTGCGTTTTGCTTTTCAAACACCAATACCAGGCAGTGTTTGCTGGCCGTCTCTTTCACTGATTACGCACGGGCAACTATATGTTGCGTATTGACATGGGATGATGAGCCACCTTTGTGGTTTACACAACGGATTGCATGATTGGCAAAGTGCATTATGGTGTGTCACCTCTGGCCGATGAGAGGTCACTCTGTAAACAATGTTTGGGATACAGCTATTCTTGTAACATTGATTTCTTTCTAATTGTGCATATGATACCATAGTTATTATAATACGCGTTCCGGATTAGGTGCTTTTTGGGATGCTGTTACAACATTCACGGTATATCTTTCACCATTAAGAATATTGGTGGCTTAAAGCTACACGTTAAGCCGTGAATGTTATTGAAACATAACAACAACGCAAGTTTTCACATTAGTTTAACATAAGAACAAACGTTGATGGGTCAATATCATGAATGGTAATGTGAACAAGGTATTATAACACAGTCATCGCTGAGCATTGATCCAGAAAAACCCCAACTCATCCCTCAAGAATTACATAAAAAAGTTAGTGAGAGAGTTCTAGCTTAATTATTGACTGTTATATTCAGCAATGGTCCCATTTAAGATATCCCAGAGGTTTCTTTTGGCCGTGGCGTCACCCAGTGGGTGATGCGCCGCAATAGCCTGTTGAATATTATTGCTCACCCATTCACTGATTACTGACGTTTATTAACGCTCCTGTTGAATACTTTATTTAAAACTATACTTGCTTTTTTTCCAAGGAATCATTGGTTCTACGGAATTCATTTTTACAGATTGAAAGTTCCCCATTCTCCTATTATAATATTGAAAACAAAGTCTTTTGAACTCTCTTTAAGTAGCTTTAAATATCTCTTCTATTACCACGTGAGAACTTTCACAACTTTTCTCTTTTAATGTGAATGGAATATTACTTTTGAATAAAAGCGTTTGTAGAGCATTGATCCGTTACGACTTAATGAGTATCGACATCTTAATAGGCACGGCTCTGTATTTCCGAGGAGTTTGGAGCATATGTAACCAAACTCTTGAAATAATGTGTGTAGCCAGCAGCTACATCCTCACCCTTTTAAGCAACTAAGGATTATTTATGCATGTATAACCTGCTCCTGGTTGACAGAATGTTCTGCAGGAACAGCAAATAAGTGACATTTCATCACGACCCCCTTCTGTATTGATTTGATTTTTTTTCAGCGCCTTTCCACTAACCAATCAAAGATTGAATTTGTGCAAATCGACAGAGAACGCCATACAGGGAGATAATACAGAATAAGAGGCGCTTTGATAGGAATAAATATCGCGAGTAAAGATACATTTCTCAAGAGAGTTGTGATAATCATGACAATATCCTGATACTTTCTAAGACTTGCTCCCTATAAAAATACTTACACCGACGTCGAAAACTGTCAGCTGAATCAATTTTAACATCTTCCATTGCCGTTTCTGGCTCTTCCAAAAGATATATGACGCGTATTAATAGTTTGTCTGAGAATACTGCTACGAGACATGGTATATCATTTCAAGGAAGGTTCGGGGAATGTATAAACCAATGTTTAAGGCATCGGCATGACTGACCTTAATGTATCCATCAGGAAAGCATTACGCTCAGGACTAGACCGTCTTTAATATGTCCATCAGGAAAGTACTAGTGTTACGCTCAGTACTAGACCGCCCTTAATATGTCCATCAGGAAGGTGTTACACTCAGGTATAGACCGTGCTTAAAATGTCCTTCGGGAAAGTGTTACATTCAGGACTAGACCGTCCCTAATATGTCCATCAGGAAAGTATCAATGTTACGCTCTGGACTAGACCTCCTTATCATGTCCATGGGGAAGGTGTTGCGCTCAGGACTAGACCGTCCTTATTATGTCCATCAGGAAGATCTGATCTGATCGTCTGATCGTCAATAATACGTCCATCAGGAAGTGTTACTCTTAGGAGCTGATCTTCCTTAATATCACCACCAGGGAACCTCCTTAATATCTCTAAGGTGTTACGCTAAAACTACATGGCCGTCCATGATATGTCAGTCAGGAACTTGTGAACTCTAAGACACATCCGTTCATAACATGTTCATCCGGAAGGTATATATTGTGCTTACACGGTGACCCTTCTTGTTTTACCCTGTTAATGCTGTGCGCCATGCACGGTACCAACACATGCCATTTGTTAACCTCGATCGGTATGACAGGGGATCGAACCACTCCCCTACAGCCATTTGCGCAGACGTTGTATTCGCTACACCTCGGAGGTGGTTTACCAAACGTGTATCATGAGGGAAGACATATTTAGACTGAATATAGAGAATGGATATATACAAGACACCATTGGTATCCCCATGAAATTAACAAGGAAGAACAAAAAAAAAAAGAATGGGGCGAATTGATAACGCCTTTTACATATGTATACGTACCACACAAGGCGGCGCTGGCAATCGAATCAATTAATGTCCATCAGGAATCAGAAGAGAAAGGTGTAATGTGCTGGGCGATGACAGAAGAAACTGAGCTAACTGTTGGATGTGAAAAAACATGAACACCGAAACAAAGACACAACCCTTGCTAACTAGTCTATAACAACCACAAACACAGAACAGGAAAAAGAAAGAATCTTCCAAACGAAATCAGTGATTGTGAAAAAACTGAAACTGCATCATGACACCAAAAATTTAACAAAAAAACACAGAACTGAAAATCCTCACAACAGTCATATCGTCTGAATCGGCAGACTGTCCGAGCTGGTGGTCAAGAACGACAACTGAAGTTATCAAGAACGACAACTGGTGCGGGTTACATGCCTGGTTCTACTGCTACAGTATATATACCTTTGCTGCCGGTGCAGCCCGACATACACATGATGCCTTGGTATGTCTGCCACTGATCTGCACAACGAGGCCTCTTGGGGAGGCACGATATCCCATCTAAAACTGAACAAGAAATGTATATAAGGTAAATTCATCAGATCATGTTATTCCAAGAATGAATAATACACAGCCTATTTGTCAGTCTCTTTGATCCGCGTAGATCTCCGTTGGTCATATGAAATCAAGAATCGGGAAGATAAACATACTAAACATTCCATAAAGAAAACCTTGGTTAGGAGGCAGCACGATATCATGTTAATCATTAAATCAAATCTTTTCCAGAGATGTTATGAACTACTCTTGATGATAGACACAAGACACAAACAGATAATGTTTTTTACGCTTAAACGTGTTGAGGGTGTGGTCTGTATTAGTTCAAATATTTGAAACTAATATTTAAATAGCAATACTATGTATAGCATTTACCTAACTTGTTTATCTCGTTAAACGTACAAGTATTTCAATATGAAAGGTACAAGTATAAACCCCCATTCTCAATGCATTTATAGTAACATGAAAGTGACAGCTGTCTTGAAAAACCTAATACAAATAATATTTATCAAAATGTTATTTTCAAGAAATGTTCGATCGAATGTGGTGACAAGAACGCAAAACATCATCAAAATTTAGGGGCATTTCTGATAAAGTTTAAAACAATGGACAGGGAATGGCGAAAGTGGCATTCCACGTTGAACGTATACTGCCTACAAAGGCTCAATGCAACATTCTGAATATAACTCATGGGGCATCGTCGTGACGTCTAGCGTTTCTTATGAGAGATTTCCATCCATTTTTTTGTTGCGGTGGGGTAGCCTAGTTGTTAAAGCGTTCGCTCGTCATGCTGAAGCCCCGGGTTCGATTCCCCAGAAGGGTACAATGTGCGAAGCCCATTTCAGGTGTCCCCTGCCGTTATATTGCTGGAATACTGCTAAAGCGGCGTAAAACTAAAACTCACTCACTCACCCTTTCCATTGACAAAATACAAGCCATTGTACAGGTCGTTTGTGTGGCTTGACTGAGATGAAGTAGAAGTGAGTTATGGTTTGTTTGGATTTTACATTACAGTAAACTGCGGTTTGGACCACTAATATAAGCTCTTTATAACAGTATTTAGTTGAACGCATTTCGACTGACACATAAATCAGATGACCAAGGCACAAAAAAACCCCTTCTCGTTATATACAACCGCTTCGTTATAAACATATGTGTCTGTATTTTAGCATGTGTACTTCGTCGACTTCCACAGGAAGATACTGAGGTTCTGGCAAATATTAGACGCTCTTGCGCTTCTGTTTAAACAGATTTCAAGTTATTTCACATTTCATGTAGGAATTATTTCCGATACAAACAACGATCGTTCATACATCAATGCATGTACACTTGCCGGGGTATCAGGTATGATCGGGTATGCCTTACGCGAATACACATAATGGAAGATACGTATCTAAGTTGGTTATCCTACTATAGATTGCTCATTTCACAATGTCACAATCTTTGGCGTCTCAAACAAGAAGTGACGTTATCCTGTACTGTTTCAATGAAGCAATCTACATCATCATGTTGCTTAAACTAAATAATCAGATTTGATGATATACAGGGAAAAGTGCAAAGATCAGATTGTAATATCTACAGTCGATCTTATAAATACTGTTGACATAATCACATGTTCGCATTTCTGAATCAAAGTTCGGTTGACACTACAGCATGGATTGTGAAACCAGACATCACACAAACACTCTGGTATCAATAACCAAGACGAGGACACAGTTTAATTGAAATGGACAAATTGAGATCGTACACCACACTGACGATCTTTCATACCCAGCAAGACGCCTCGGGGTGTTTCAGATAGTCTAATACATCTCACACTTTGAGGAGTCGGATTGCCATTGACAGAATATATGATATCAATCACCTAGCAGCGAAGGGATTCGCGAAGGCATTTTTGCCCGGAGCTGCCGTATTCTGTTCACGGGAAAGCATACAGCCGGATTGATCTTGTCGTCAATGTTATCCCTCATATAGGTTTTGCTGGATTTGTACAAGAAATGGAACTATGGCCAGACTTCTGAATGTCATTTGCGTGTCCATGCATGTATAGAGTCTTACTAAAGCTAAGGTAACTTTCATTAGTAACTAAGTGGGTCCATTAAGTAAATGAGTGCGTGAGCACTCCGGTTTGAACAGTGTTCCTGTTCTTTGGTTGGTTATTAACGCCGCAGCATTCGGTAAGAGGCGACGCAGATATCAGAGTCTGACATTTGCCACTTCGTTGAAAACAATGAAACTGATGTGGTACAAAACCTGCAAACATAATTGTGCTGATCTGGGATTCGAACACATGATCACATGTGCACACTTCGCTGCGATTAACGGCGCCTCAGACGACGTGGTGCCCTGTTGATAATGTTGAAAAAGATACATGCCCCTTTTTTTATAAAGTAAGAATTAACTGAACACTTTTCTGGCTCAGAGCGCCGCCTCGTTAATCCAGACAGTACCACTGTCAGTCATGGTGATATGTGAGTAAAACGTACATTACGTGTAATGATAAATAGAGTTTTGTCCTTTTCTCGGCACTAACGGGATACCCTGTATGAAGCGCCCAGTCATACGATACACGGATACGTAAGGATTAGGATAAAAGGTGCCTATTTGATTTCTTGGACGTTTTTCTGTTTAATTAGTGTGGGGTCAATGGGTATTCAGGATCACTGCGCATGGCTGGATATAAAAGTACCAAATGGTACATCAGAGACACAGGACGTGACCTTCATGCATGATGCATATGGGTACTTCAGAGGCACAGAACGTGACCTCATGTATGATGCATATGGTACATCAGTGGCACAGGATGTGACCTTTATGTATGATGCATATGGGTACATCAGTGGCACAGGACGTGACTTTCATGCCTTCATGCATAATGCATACGGGTACATCAGTGGCACAGGACGTGACCTTCATGCCTTCATGCATGATGCATACGGGTACATCAGAGGCACAGGACGTGACCTTCATGCATGATGCATATGGGTACATCAGTGACATAGGACGTGACCTTCATGTATGATGCATATGGTACATCAGTGGCACAGGACGTGACCTTCATGCCTTCATGCATGATGCATATGGGTATATCAGAGGCACAGGATGTGACCTTTATGCATGATGCATATGGGTACATCAGTGGCACAGGACGTGGCCTTTATGCATGATGCACACGGGTACATCAGTTACAGAAGAACAGCTAACAAGCAATCAGGGTTTTGTCTCTCAACAAATCGCATGCCACTTGACAAAACATTGACTCATTTAGAAATAAAGAAAACTGCTAATCTTCTTTTTTCATTTTCAAACTTCTGTAATGCGATTACTGAAATCACTAAGCTGACGCCTGGGGTTGAGCTCATCATGAGAACCATAATGAGGAAGTGACGCTCCATTGGCTCAGATATTACAGCAACACCACAGAAACCAGCATATAATGGAACAGGAAAAGACAAATTTAAACTCTGAACAACGGTCCCGATACAGAACGATAACATTAAGTCAAATCACACACATTAACGACGTATGATACAGTAACTAATACTTTTGTTCTGGCTTGGCTTCGGTCAGGTCATCTGACATTGTTATGAACATTGGTTCACGATTACACGAGTTGTTGCATGTATTTGCGAGCAGCAACTGTCTGAGCTCCCGGGAAAGTAACATTATGCAACATGTCAACAAGCTTACTGCAAAGTCAACTGGCAAAGATATCTTTTTTCATATGTTTAAATGAGTCTGGTCCAGACTCCATACCGTCGGGGTTTGATATTACACAATCAGCCAAGTCATCCAGGAGAGTCACCCAATCTATTCGATACTCATCTACGATAAACGTTGGTTGCTGGAGATCTGTTCCAACCTAAATACCCACTGGGTCTCACGGAAAGCCTAAGATACCGGAGACCTTCGTGCATTTGCCTACGGTGGTGTCATGATTATATGATTGAGTTACGGTATTTAACTAGCTATATCTTCAGTTTCTTCACATGGACTCCTAGACATGTCTCTTCTTGACAACTTGTGAATTTCACGTTATCACGTTTCACTCTGTACCCGCTAGCGGTTACATATTGAAGGCTGTTGTGGCTTTTGTGTAGTCATTTCCTTTGTAATGACCAGGATGCAAGTTTCAGATGGTAGCTGCTTTCAAGTTAGTTTCGGTCTTGACTTTACGTTACGTCCTTGTTGGCATCAGATTCGAGGACAACAATTATTGAGCAGGGTCGTACGTTGCTTTAAGACATGTAACATCACGACGGACGTCTCACTGATATGATGTGTACTGGGCCCGTGAAGGTCCGGCTTAGAATGAGCCTTCAGTAACCCATGCTTGTCGTAAGAGGCGACTAACGGGATCGGGTGGTCAGGCTCGCTGGCTTGTTTGACACATGTCATCGTTTCCCAATTGCGCAGATCGATGCTCTTGATGTAGATCACTGGATTGTCTGGTCCAGACTTGATTATTTACAGACCGCCGTCATATAGCTGGAATATTGCTGATTGCGGCGTAAAACTAAACTCACTCACTCATATCTGTACTGGATGTCATAGATCGATCATCAGCTTACCGTGGAATGACTAACCATCATTTTATCTTAAACGCTTTCTAAAAGTTAATGTAAAAGTGCTCATCGGTTTGCTTGTTTGCTATATGACGTCTGTAAAAACCGAGTCTAGATAGTCGACTAGATAGTCCAGTGATCGACATGATGGGCATCGATCTACGCAACTGGAATACGATGACATGCGAGTCTAACAACTCGATCCCGTTTGTCGCCTCTTACGATAAGCATGGGTTGCTGAGGACCAATTCTAACCCTGCTAGTCACGGGTGTGCTCATAGATTGTTGGTACTGTTGCCAAATGGTGTGTGCGTTTGTCAGTTGTAAGAACCATGTCACGATTACTTGCTCCAGTCATGAATGATGTTCCGCATGTTCAGTTGAATAGTTTCCTCATCTCCAACGTCAGCCCAGCGATGGTCAATTAATAGATACGAAAGGCACCAC